TGTTTTCTGCATCCCGAGTCGTTTTTTTTGTTGACGGTCCGGCGCCCGTGCAGGTGCGCGCCGCCGCGTCTCATGCCGCGCGGACCCCTCCCTTCTCCCCCTCTCTTCTCCTTCTCCCTCCTCCCCCTCCCTCCTCCCCCTCCCTCCCCCTCCCTTCTCCCCCTCCCCCCTCCTCCCGCCGTCCCTCCCTCCTCCCCCTCCCTCCTCCCCCTCCCTCCTCCCCCTCCCCCCTCCTCCCGTCCTCCCTTCCCTCCTCCCGCCGAGCCCTCCTTCCTGCTGCCCATCCGCTGCTCCGCTCCTCCCCCTGCTGCGCTCCCCTGTGCCTGCCCCCCCCCTCCCCCCTCCCTGCTTTTCGCCTCGTCCCCCCGCCCCCTCCAGGGACGATGTTTGATTACTGTTGCATTTTTTGGAGTATGTTTTACTTCTCGTCCAAAATCCGCCTGTAGGAGGACATGCCCGACCTCTTCGCCCTCCCCGCACCTCCCTCCCGCCCTTCATCCTCACTTCCGCCCTTGCCCGTCGTCAGTCCTCGTCGTCGTCGCCGCCGCCGCCGTCGTCGTCGCTGTCGCCGCCGTCGTCGTCGTCGTCGTCGTCGTCGTCGTCGTCGTCGTCGTCGTCGTCGTCGTCGTCGTAGCCGGTTTCGTCGTCGTTCGTCGTCGTCGTCGCCGCCGTCGTCGTCGTCGTCGTCGTCGCCATCGTCGTCGTCGTTCGTCGTCGTCGTCGTCGTTCGTCGTTCGTCGTCGTCGTCGTCGTCGTTGTCGTCGTCGGCGCCTCCCAGATGGCCCCACTACAGCCCAAGAAGCCCCCCAGAAGACCTCTATACGGTCCCGGAGGGCAGCAAGATTGCCGAAGCGGCGCGGGCACGGCTGGCGGGGTGAGGGTTTTTTTGGACTGATGTTGAGTTGCCGTTGTCTCAACTCGCCCTGCTGCAGGGGAAATGAAGAGAAGGAGAAGCACGCGGAGGAAATATGGTGATGATGAGAACGAGAGGCGATGACGACGATTTCGTTGATGACGATGAGGACGATCAAGACGAGGAGGATTACAATAGTCATAGCAAGGTTGAGCAATACATGGAAAAGGAGGGGAGCTTGAGAATATTCAGAGGCAAAGGATGAGGACGAGCAGAAGGATCAGGAGGAGGAACACGAGGATATTGTTAGGGAGGTTGGGGAGCAGGAAGGGGTCGGGGCGAGGATGGAGGCGGGGGGACCAGGATGATCAGGAGGGTGAGGAATGAGGAACAGGAGTATGAGGATGATGAGGACGACGACGACGTGGAAGAGGAGCAGGAATGGACGGTGTGATGTCGAATGCGAGGAGGAGGAGGAGGAGGAGGAGGAGGAGGAGTAGGAGGAGGAGGAGGAGGAGTAGGAGGAGGAGAAGGGGGACGACGACGACGTCGACAATGTCGACGAGGACGACGACGACGACGACGACGACGACGACGACGGCGACGACGACGACGACGATTACGTCGACGTCGACAACGTTGACGACGACCGACGACAACCATTTGACGATGGCGACGACCCCGACAGTGTTGACGACGACCGCGGCGTGGACGATGTTGACGACGGCGGCGACGACGACGGCGGCAGCGGCGACGACGACAGCGGCGACGGCGACGACGCGCTTCCCCCGCCGCCGCTGGAGATGGGCCGCAGCGACTCGCGCACGCCGGCCCTCCGCGCCCACGCTAGGCGCCGCCTCGCCCGCCCGCGGCACGCGGCCGCTCCGCGGCCGAGGTCCGTCGATTTTTTTTTTTTTTTTTTTTTTTGTTGTTTTGTTTTGTTGTTCTCTCTCTCTCTCTCTCTGTCTCTCTCTCTCTCTCTCTCTCTCTCTCTTTTGTTATATATATATATAGATATATGTATAAAAGTATATTAACCCCCAAAAAGCATGTTTGTACTTGTGAGTTGTCGATTCGTATACAGTCGAGCATCTGAGTAAGAAGCCTCCTCCCGAAAAGCCGGGCCAGCGTTTCTCAACCGTCTTGCTGGGAAGTTGGCCCAGTTTCCTGAGCACGTTCGCCCGTCCAGCGTCAGCACCAGAAACTGACCCAGGCTTGCTTTCAGAAACTTCCGGGAAGCTGGCCCAGATTTTTTGGTTGATTGTCTTCTTGATCGTGTCTTCGGCTGTATCCAGGGCCGCCGCGAGGGTGCGGAGCTCTTCGCGCTGCGCGCTCCGACGTCCTGGGCGACGCCGGGGGCGAGGGGAGCGGCGCCGAGGGGGGGGGGGGGCGTCGCGGGATTCGCGAAGTCCTTCGTGCCTCGAGAGCGCTGCGCGCAGCACGGAGCGCGAGGTGGGGGGCCCTGGGTATGCGGTCGGGCCGGTCCCTCGACAGGAGGGATGCTCAAACGTAGTAGTCAAGAAATCGTCTGGGGGCGATGTTCTGCGTATGTGTTGGCCTTCTTGGAGCTTTTTTTGGTTATTCTTTTGTTCAAAAATTCCCCCTGTATGAGGACAGGCCCGACTTCACCCTAGTGTATCCTCAAGGGCTTCGCTCTCTGCCGCCGGCCTCCTTCTCAATCACATTGGGGTGTCTTAGAACTGTGTTGGGGAGTCTGGGCGCGTCTTGAAGACGTCTGCGGGCAGCATGCGAGGACGGGTGGGAGTCAGCACATCACATTGAGATGTTGGGGCTGGTTCTTTTCCTTTGGCGACAGCAGAACCAAAACATTTATATACACCTCCAGCCAGAGGCCTGGCCAGGCCTGGCCAGGCCTCAGCGTTCGTATGGCAGGTTACCACGGCGAACGTCATGCCCTCTTGGGGCCCTCTTGGGACGCTTATGGGGGGTCTTGGGGTTCTCTTGGGGCTATTTTGGGGGGCCCCCTTGGGGCCCTCTTGCGGCCCTCTTGGGGCTCCCTTGAGGAGCTAACTCTTGGGAGCCCTGAGCGCCTCTCGGGGCCATGCTGGAGGCCATCGATCGAGTGCGGGGGGGGGGGGGTCCTGGATTCCGCTCCCCCCATCAAGGGCCCTCGACGTCGCCGCCGGGGGCCCGCTGCAGGCGCTCCCGGGGCGTTCTTGGGTCTCGGACGCCCCCTGGGGCCGTGTCGGAGGCCTCCGGGGCCCCTATTTGGGGGCTCTCTCGGGCCACCTTGGGGCCCTTGCTGAGGTCTCTCAAAAATGCGCCGGGAGCAACAGGGCGAAAAGGCGCACCTCGTTGATTTCCTTCTTGGGTGTTCGAAGGATATGGGCTCCTCGAGGGGAGGGTCCTGAGGGTGCTCCGTGAGCATTTCGAGGCATCCTGTGCCTCTCTTGGGCCCTATTGGAGGCATTCCGTACCGGACGCTACCTTGAGAATATCCGTGTTTTTTTCTAGCAATTTTGGAGGCCAGCTTGCAGCATCGCATGCCCTCTTGGAGCCATCTTGGACGCTATAACCCCTGGCGACCCCCTTAAAAGTATTCGGTCAGTAGGGGAGGGCATGCCTCCCTGAAGAGAAGTTATGGAAGTTGGGCTTTGGAAGGGGAAAGAAACATGTTCTCTGACCACCTGCGCCCGGAGGGCTGAAGGGATGTGGTCTCCACTTTCGCCCCAGCTCCCTTTCTTCTGTGCTCCTCCCTTCGATCCTCTTCTCCCTCCGTAACTCCTGTCTCCCCTTCTCTTGTTCCTCGCTTCGTTCCGCGTCGCTTTTTCGAGGCTGCTGATGTGTGCTTGCGCCCACACGCGTGCACGCGCTTGGTACTGGCCCTCTAGCAATAGTGCTTGCGACTGCGTGGGTTGTGTCGTTGGTTCTTGTGCAGGCGGTTGCTCAGGAAGCTCATTTCGGAGCCTCTTGGGGCTCTTCTCCCAGGTGTCTCGAGCTCTGTGGCCTTGCCGTGGCGCGGTGCACACATGTCTTTGGCTTCTGGCGCCGCGAGCTTTCCGGTAGGGAGTAAAATGGAGACAGGAGTGTGGAAGCAGGGCGCAATGAAAGGAAAAGACAGCACGAGTACAACATAGCAGTCCAGCAGGTGGTTTCACAGCTTGCGGTCCCAGAAGTGGCCGGCGGCGCAGAAAGTGGAACGAATCAGTTCCCTGCTACATGCCTCGTCTGCTGTTTCTCCGTGTCGTTCCTCTTCCGTCCTCGGCGTCATCGCTCGTCGCAAGCTCGTTCGCATGCCTCTTGGGGGCCCCTGGGGGGGCCTCTGGGGGGGGCCTCTGGGGGGGGCCTCTTGGGGGGGCCTCTTGGGGGCTTCTTGGGGCCTCTTGGGGGCCTCTTGGGGCCTCTTGGGGGCCTCTTTGGGCCTCCTGGGGGCCTAGCGGGGCCGAGGGCTCGAGATGTCCGCTCGGGTCCCCCCGTCTGTGCCCCCTCTTGGAGCTGTCTTGCGGTGTATTTGGGCCGTTGGGCCGTCTTGGGGCCCCGTTGGAGGCCTCTTGGGCAGTCTTTGGGCGATCTTGGCGTCCCGGGCTGTCTTGGAGCGTCGGGGAGGCGAGACGACGAGAACACCAGAATCTTACACGAATGTATGAAAATGCGTGAAGTATGCCTCTTGGGGCTTTTTGGGGGGGCCTTGGGAGGCCTCTTGGAGCTCTCTTGTAGGCTTCGTGGATTGTCTTCGAGCCGTCTTGGCCGTGGTGGCCTCTAGAGGCTCTCTTCGGAACATCTTAGGGCAGTCCTGGAGGCCTCTCGGGCGCTGTGGCTGCGCGGTGGCGTCGCCATAAGAATCCTAAAGTGTGTGGCCCAGATCGGCCAGGAATTTGAGAGGCCCCTCCCCCGATGGCTTTTCTTGACGCCGCGGGCCCTCTAGCACGTAGGCGGTACAATGGAGACAAGAGGCAGGAGAGAGAAAACAAGACAGGAGAGACAAAAGGCACAATAACACATGGAAGCATCTATTACAAAGCACCTGCCCACGGGCGCCCGCTCAGCCCTGCTCCCCCCAGAATGGGCTGGCGGGTATTGCTCACGGGCCCGCTGGACATACGACGTCTTCTCCATACTCTCCAGCTCAAGCTCAAGACACCCACGCGCTGCTCTCACAGCAGAAGCCTCGCCCTCCTGCTTTCTCATGGAGAGTGTCCCGGAGGCTCTCGATCTGGTGGTCTTGGCGGAGGCGTCGGAGAAATACGGCCGGACGGTGACGAGCCCTCGGTTCACCGCGGAGGGTTTCTCGGCGGTCCCCTTCAACGAGACCAGCGAATCCAAGTGCGGGGTTGGCCCTTCGCACTGGTATCCATGGGCGAACAGCACACCGATATCGATATCGATGCCCCTCCGTCGTCTTCACCGTTCCTCCAGGGGGGCCTCGTCGCCACCGCTGGATCCGCCTCGGGGCCGTGGGTAGGATGCACCCCAGGAGGAGTCCGCGAGGTGGCGGTGCTGGGATCTTCTTGCCCTCTCAGGTATGAGCTTCCGCTTGCCTGTGAGAAAGTCAAACGCGATACGGGCCTCTGCATCAAGGGCCGCCTCTTTACTTCGTGCATGCCGCGCAATGTGGATGAAGACTGGCCTGAGACGTCACCCGACGGGAGCTATCCTGCGTGGTTGACCGACGCGAATGAGACTGACCCAAACGTGAACCGCCAGCTATTCAAGATTCACGTGGCTGAGAACGGGATTTGCAACATTCTTGCTCTTGTTGAGGATCGAGAGCCTCCAGCAGGCAGGAGCACTCGCTTGTGGGACTACTCAAGATGCTTCGCGTTCACCGCCCGCGCATTCTAGTCTTCGCCAGAACAGCCGAAGACGGCAACATCACAGGATGAGGACATCGAGACAGAGGCGGCCCCGCAGAAGGCCAAACACAACCCGAATACGGTACAGAGTCGCCTCAAGACGGCTCAATATGCGCCAAGAGCTCACGCGGACGCCCACAAGACTTGCCAAGGTCTGACGGCTGGTACAGTCGACCCTGAAGGGTGACGACGACGACGACGACGACGACGACGACGACGACGACGACGACGACGACGACGACGACGACGACGACAAGGGGGCCAACATGGGCCCGAGGCGGCACAGAGGAGCTTCCGGACGGCCGAGGCGCGCGCGTCCACGCGCCGGGCCAGAGCGCCGCCCGAGCTCGGCCCGAGCCGCGCCAGGGTCGGGGCCGTCGTCGCCGCCGCCGCCGCCGCCGTCTTCGTCGTCGTCGTCGTCGTCGTCGTCGTCTTGAGGCTCGTCTTGGGGCCCGGGCTGTGCCCTCAGAGGATCGTCGAGCGGGAGTGATATCCCGGAGCATGTCCGCGACGGCAGGGAGACAATTAGTGAACACCCCCCGTCCGTTTTGTCGTCTTCTTGCCAATTCCGACGCCGTTTTGTTACCTGTTCGTCGCCGTGCTTTTACCGGTTCCGGCTCCAATCCCGGAGCCGTTTCTGTGGCCGTTTTTGGTCGTTTTTTTTTACCGTTCCCATTTTCACGAGACGCGTCGGGGGTCTGATGGGGGGGAAACAATTAGTGAACACCCCCCCTGCCCCCCAAACTCAAAGTTGGCACGCGGGGGGGAGGCTGCGGTCGAGGTGCAGCTCCTCAGACCCACCGCCAACTTTGAACACTGGGGGAAGGGGGAGGCGTTCACAGATGAACGTGGCATGAGTGTTCGCTATTTTTTTCCGAGGCCTGGATGGCGCAGGCGAGTCCGAGAAGCGGTCATCAGGGCCGCCTGCGCCTCCGCCAGCCAAGGCGGCAACAGTCAGCGCTTGTGTTCGATCACGTCGCCGAGATTGGGCCGAGGAGGCGTCCCTGGGGGCCAATGGGAGGCCAAGCGAAAGGGCCCAGGAGGAGTCGGAAAATGGAGCGAAGAGCTGTACGGCAGCGCCGCGCCGACCGTCGACCGTCGGCGGCCCCGCCGCAGGGCGCTCCAGGCCGAGCGCCGCCAGCGCGCCCCGGAAGCGGTCGATGTTCCAACGCCTGGGCGTTTCTCGTGAACGGCCGATCGCTCACTGTGGAACGATGCCCGCGGTGTCGGGGGCCAGGACGTGCAGTCGACGCGCCCAGGAAGGACGCGCGCCTTCCTCTAGGGCACCCTCGTGTCCTTGCCTCCGCGGCCCGTCGCCTGCCGTTTTCACTGGCCACTGGTCGCCCGTCGCCCCCAAAAATCCCAACTTCGGCCTCCAAGGGTACTGCGTCCTTACCAGGAGGAGGAGGAGGAGGAGGAGGAGGAGGAGGAGGAGGAGAAGGAGGAGGAGGAGAAGGAGGAGGAGGAGGAGGCGGAGGCGGAGGAGGAGGAGGAGGAGGAGGAGGAGGAGGAGGAGGAGGAGGACCGGGGCGCCGGGAATCCCGCGCCCCCACCCTCTCTCCGCTCGCCGGCCCCTGTGTGGCTCCTCCTCTCTTGCCCCCTCCTCCCTTCCCGGGCGTTTCTGCGATACCGCATGATGTTTCACTGTTTCACCGGGTCGCTGCCCGATGAGTTTCCGGCCTCTCCGCGCGCGTCGCGCATCATGGAGCCGTCCCGCTGGACGGATGTCTGGTCGCCGCTCCGCTCCGCGGTGTCGGAAGCCAGCGTCGGGGTCGACACGAGACGAACCCGCCGTGCCGAAAGCGAGTCGGGAACGATCTGGCATCTGAGCTCATCTTGGATTTCGTATGTGGGCCGCACTGGTCCCAGGAGAGGGAGAGCGGAGGGCACGAGCGTCGCATGGCTCATTGGTTTTTCCCAACCATCCTGTGGTGTTGGGTCCTCGTTTTGAAGAGACGGCGCCCCGCGTTCCTCACCTCCTCCTCCTCCCCCCCCCTCCCTCCTCCCATCATCATCATCATCATCATCATCATCATCATCATCATCATCATCATCATCATCATCATCATCATCATCATCATCATCATCATCATCATCATCATCATCATCATCATCATCATCATCATCATCATCATCATCATCATCATCACCACCGATTTCGGCACACCCCTCACACGTTTCGTGGCCCCATAGGGAGCTCCACCGAAGGCCCCAGTGGCAGGGTCCGCATGCCTCCCCACCACCCATTTCGGCACACCCCTCACACGTTTCGTGGCCCCATAGGGAGCTCCACCGAAGGCCCCAGTGGCAGGTCGCATGCCTCCCACCACCCATTTCGGCACACCCCTCACACGTTTCGTGGCCCCATAGGGAGCTCCACCGAAGGCCCCAGTGGCAGGGTTCGCATGCCTCCCCACCACCCATTTCGGCACACCCCTCACACGTTTCGTGGCCCCATAGGGAGCTCCACCGAAGGCCCCAGTGGCAGGGTCCGCATGCCCCCCACCACCCATTTCGGCACCCCACCCCTTTCGGCACACCCCTCACACGTTTCGTGGCCCCATAGGGAGCTCCACCGAAGGCCCCAGTGGCAGGGTCCGCATGCCTCCCCACCACCCATTTCGGCACACCCCTCACACGTTTCGTGGCCCCATAGGGAGCTCCACCGAAGGCCCCAGTGGCAGGGTTCGCATGCCTCCCCACCACCCATTTCGGCACACCCCTCACACGTTTCGTGGCCCCATAGGGAGCTCCACCGAAGGCCCCAGTGGCAGGGTTCGCATGCGGCGTGGCTAGCTCCCCGAAGGCCCCAGTGGCAGGTTCGCATGCCTCCCCACCACCCATTTCGGCACACCCCTCACACGTTTCGTGGCCCATAGGGAGCTCCACCGAAGGCCCCAGTGGCTGCGTTCGCATGGGGCACACCCCTTTTCGTGGCATGCCTCCCCACCACCCATTTCGGCACACCCCTCACACGTTTCGTGGCCCCATAGGGAGCTCCACCGAAGGCCCCAGTGGCAGGGTTCGCATTCCCCATGGCCCCACACCACACCCCTCACACGTTTCGTGGCCCCATAGGGAGCTCCACCGAAGGCCCCAGTGGCTGCGTTCGCATGCCTCCCCACCACCCATTTCGGCACACCCCTCACACGTTTCGTGGCCCCATAGGGAGCTCCACCGAAGGCCCCAGTGGCAGGGTTCGCATGCCTCCCCAACACCCATTTCGGCACATCCCTCACACGTTTCGTGGCCCCATGGGGATTTCCACTGAAGGCCCCAGTGACTGGGTTCGCATGCGCCCCCACACCCATTTCGGCACACCCCTCACACGTTTCGTGGCACCATAGGGAGCTCCACCGAAGGCCCCAGTGGCTGCGTTCGCATGCCGCCCCCACACCAATTTCGGCACACCCCTCACACGTTTCGTGGCCCCACAGGGAGCTCCACCGAAGGCCCCAGTGGCTGCGTTCGCATGCCGCCCCCACACCAGCTTCGGTGCACCCCTCACACGTTTCGTGGGCCCATAAGGAGCTCCAGCGAAGGCCCCAGTGGCAACGTTCGCATGCCGCCCCCACACCCATTTCGGCACACCCCTCAAACGGTTCGTGGCCCCATAGGGAGATCCACCGAAGACGGTACCCACACCAGCATTATTCACAACTGCATATGGTTGGGTCCTTCGCCAGGCTAATTTTTTCTGTGTCGGCGATCTTCACGACACCAGAGACGAGCGCGCAAATTCCCCGATCGGTGCATCCCTCTGGCCGTAAGAGTGCTCGACTGGGCGATGGCCTCGACGCACGCGTGCCCGGGCACCGATGGGCAAGCTTGAGGCCCTTCAGGCGCCCTCGTGGGCACCCGCGGGATCCCCTTGTGGCCCTCTTGGTGATTTTCTGGGGCCCAGAACCGTCTTGGGCATTCCATTGGGGCAATATCGGGTTGACTCTTTGCATTTTCGGAACCATCTCGGGCCATTATGTCGGCCCCCTGGGGCCTTTCAGGATCCTTCTGGAGGCCCGTCGGGGCGCTGCCGGGGCTGTCCTGGGGCTCTGCCGGTGTGAATTGGCGCCCTACTGGGTTCCTCGCGTGGGCCCTTGTGGGGCGCCATTGTGGCCTTCATGGGCCACTTGAGGGTCATCTTGAAGCTTCGGAGGAGACACATGTGAATGAACAACATCAAGGACCGACCACGCCGCGTTTAGCCTAATTTTGGCCCTTGTTGTGTTTTTCGATTCGTTGTTCGTTATTGTTTCGTTTCGTCGTTCGTTGTTGTTTTGAACGCCCCGGTTCGTCGTTCGTTTTCGTTTGGAACCGGCTTCGTTCAAACGTCCGTTTTGAACGTTGGGCCTCGTTTCGTTGTTCGTTGAAAACGGCATTTCGTTGTGAACATCGTTGTGATCGCTTCCTGAACAACATCGAGAATGCCGAAATCAAATAATGGCATCCAGCTGCCTGCAGCAAATCCCGCCACCGTGTCTGTGCATCAGCGCAGCAGGAAGGATATCGAGGAACTCGACTTTGTCTTCGTCCACGCGGTAGGGGGGAGGTCGAGTTCACGCCCCACTGCAGTTGAGCGAGCGGTCTGAACTAGGACGGGTCGTTAGCTCGACCTCGTCTTCGTCTGCGCGGTAGCAAGGAGGTCGAGTTCACGCCCCGCTGCAATTCAGCGATCTGTTTGAACAGGAGGAGGAGGAGAAGGAGGAGAAGGATGCGAAGGAAGAAGAGAAAAATTGCCGCTTTGGGCCCTCTTGGGGCCTCCTGGGGGCCTCTTGGGGTTCACCTGGCGCCTCTTTGGGGCCTCTGGGAGCCTCTTAGGCCGTTTTAGGGGGGCTCTTGGCCAGTCTGACGCCTTCGGAGGCCGTCTTGGGGGCCTCACTGGGCCGTCTTGGGGGCCTCTTGGAGCGCTTTGGGGTTGCCTTGGGGCCCTCTTGGGAGCCTCTTGGGTGATCTTGGGATCCTCTTGGGTCGACTTGGGACCCTCTTGGGGGCCTTGAAGGTTGTCTTGGAGCTACATTGCAGGCTTCTTGGGGCCATCTTGGGCGATGGGAAACTCAAACATGCGAGAACCTCAAACTCATTCAACACCTTAAGGAACATCTATGTTTTTGCCTCGGGCTCTGATCTCTTGGACCCCTCTTGGGCCGTCTTGGGGGGCGCTTGGGCCGTTTGTGGAAGCCGTCTTGATGGTTTCCTGAGCCATCTTGGGCCATTTTGTCTTGGAAGCCGTATCGTATTGGAGGCCATATTGGCCGCTTGGCGGCCAAACAGTACGCTGGGGGGGAACTGTAAGGGGGGTGTTTTTTACAGGATGCGTGCTATGCGGTGAGGGGCGGCCCTAGCAAGCATCTAAATATCTACCAGACAGTAGACGAGCATTCCAACGCGCCCATTTCGTGCAGTGGTTCCGCCCTCTCAGGGGGCTTCCTCGGGAGGCTCCGGGGCCATCGTGGGGCCGTCGAGGGGGACAACCGGGGCCATTGTGAAGTCCACCGTGGCCTCTCCTGGGGCGACGACGATGACGTCGTCGTCGGCATCTTGGGCGATCTCGGAGGCCGTCCTGGAGCGCGGCGGGGCCATGTCGGAGCCGCGCCCGGGCCGTTCCGGGGGCCCTCCAGGGCTCGGGGAGCAGCTCTGGGAGTGCCCAGGACTTGTCCCCCCCTCTTGGCCGATTTTCTGGGGCCCCATCCACTTTCAGACCCTCTGGCCGCCGCCTCCTCCTCCTCCTCCTCCTTCTCCTCCTCCTCCTCCTCTTTTCGATATTTGCTGCCTTTTCGGCGGTCTTCGATCTTCGGAGGCGTTTCCTCGAGCTCGGCCTCCCGCTGCAGTGTCCGCACCCCGGGACTGTCAGGAAGCGGCTCTCGGATGCAAAACGGCTTCCAGGAAAGCCCTCAGGTGGACGCCCCTCCAGACCTCCAGCATCACGCTGCCGACCTCCTCCAGCCGACCGGCACTCCTCACTCGACCAGCTACCAGCATCCACATGCGACCTGCAGCTGCCAGGATCCATTGGCCGGCATGCAAGCATCCTGCTGCGCCTCCGCCTGGCGGCGGGCCTGCACGCGCGTGTGGCTGACGAGTTTGGTTCTCACACACAATCAAGTGTCCACATGCGACCAATCCCCTCACCGACGCCGGCTCAAGAGCACCTCCCCAAGACGCCCTCTCTTTCACAACCTCCACACGCCGATTTCGGCAACGATCCCCGAGGGCTCTGGCCCGCCGCGCTGGTCTTGTAGACCCCGCCCCCTGGCGGGTACTGGCGCGCTCGCTCGTTTCTTCTCCTCCTCCTCCCCCTCCTCCTCCTCCTCCTCCTCCTCCTCCTCCTCCTTCTCCTCCTCCTCCTCCTCCTCCCCCTCCTCCTCCCCCTCCTCCTCCTCCTCCTCCTCCTCCTCCTCCTCCTCCTCCTCCTCCTCCTCCTCCTCCTCCTCCTCCTCCTCCTCCTCCTCCTCCTCCTCCTCCTCCTCCTCCTCCTCCTCCTCCCCCTCCGTTCTGGCCCGACCGACCCGACCCCCCCGCCACCCCCGCCGCGTGGGCCCAGGCCCTTTCCCGGGGGCCCGGCGCGCCGCCCGGGGGGGCAGCTGGGCCCACCGGGCCTCCTCGCCGAGCGGGCCCCGTCCACGGGGGTCTCTTGCACCCCAGGGGAGGGGGCACAGGGGAAGGGAGGGGGCACCCCAGGGGAGGGGGCACCCCGTCCACGGGGAGGGGGCACCCCGTCCACGGGGAGGAAGGGAGGGGAGGAGGCCAGTCGTGGTCGTCGTCGTTGTCGTCGTCGTCGTCGTCTCGGCGGCGGAGGCGTCGGCGTCGGCGTCGGCGTCGGCGTCGGCGTCGGCGTCGGCGTCGGCGGCGGCGGCGGCGGCGGCGGCGGCGTCGTCGTCGTCGTCGTCGTCGTCGTCGTCGTCGTCGTCGAGGATGCCGTCGAGGACACCGTCGAGGACGAAGGCGGGAGGAGGAGGGGGAGGAGGAGGAGGAGGAGGGGAGGAGGAGGGGGGAGAGCGGGAGGAGGAGGGGAGCAGGAGGGGGAGGAGGAGGGGGAGGAGGAGGGGGAGGAGGACAGCCGAGCATTTCGCAGCCTTGTCACCCCTAGCGAGCGGGGGTCTGCGGATTACGCTGCTCTCGGGCTTACTGTGCTGCGTTGCCCAACGCACGATTTCAATTGTCCATGTCCAGGATCGTTCAAACGAGCAATGGAGCTCTTGAGTTTGGCGCTTTACCAAGGCCGCAGCACTCTTATCCATTGCTGGGGTGGCAGTGGCAGAACTGGTGCGTATGCCATTGGCTTGCTTAAAAGCCTGGGTGTGCAGGAACCCGTTGCTTGGGCCAGGCAGGTGGGGAAAAGCGTGTATCTCGACGTGCACGAGCAGGAGGAATTTCTGAACCAGATGCAGTTTTATGCCACTCCCAGAATGGTTGAGGTGGCACAGCCCATGGTCAAGCAAATGATAAAAGCTCACCTCAAAAATCTCGTGGCTTGTAAAGGTGGCCTGGGGCATTACGACAGGGATCTTGATACGTATACGCAGCAAGCCTTGACGACGATGCTTACAATTTGCGGACATGAGATCTATGAAGGCGATGACATTAAGGATTTCTGGACCTCCATGGCGCGCCCCGTAGATTTCAAATCGCCGTTGACTGCCAAAGATCGGCTACACATGCCGGCCGGAAATGGTAACATTGGTTCTTTCCCCTTGCCATCTCCAGAGGGCGATCCAGACAGACAGCCAACCCCCCTTGAAAAGCCAGGAGACTTCTGGAGTAATAAGTTGCAGGGAGAATGCCGCGTCGTCAATTCATCGCGTAGCAGAAATGAACATTATGACGCTGCGTTCTGGACATGACGGTGATGTTGGCCGTATCCTGAGTGCGTGCTTTGAGAAGTTGATGGCTTTGGATTGGCCTTCGGGGCCGTTACGAGCTGTTGGCGTCGCAGCATGGTTGGTGAATCATCGACCTTGCACGCGCACTGTGGTGCCACCGGAGGTTCGAAGCAGAGAAAAAACAAGACATCATCGGTGGCCGCATGTGAACCTCACCCCACCTCGGACGCTAAACTGAAATTTATGATGTTCCAACCTACGTCAGCCTTGATCACCAGAAACAGATTCGAGCACCAAGGAAGCACCGAAACTCGAGGGTTTTCACGTGTCGGGCCCTGGGACACACTCGTTCGACATTGTTCCGGAAGTTCCGACGCTGTTTGGACACTGCTTCGACACTCTTCCGGGTGCTCGAAATTATATATGGGATGTGGTTCTTGAGCACGATGGGAGCAGCATGAAAAACTGAAATACGGACCGCTTTGGGCTCATGAGGGGCCAAGGTTTGCGGGCCGGTCCCTCAATCTCGGCCGTGGAACCTACGAGTGGCCGAAGCTCTCCGTGGTCAGGAGGGCCCCTTCGTTCCCTAACTTTGCGTTCCCTGGTGCAGCGCGATGGCTGTAGGTCTGTTGCTCCCATCACGAGGTTTCCGTTTTTGTTGATTGGAGGGCACTTTCGAAGGGCAGCACAGCGGAAGGCAGCCGAAGCATTGACATGCCCCCCAGAATGAGATGATGGGCTTGTTTTCCACCACCACCACCACCACCATAAGTTGGAGGGGGAGGGGGTCCTCCTCCTCCTCCGCCTCCTCCTCGTCCTCCCTCTCTTTCCCCCCTCCAACTTATGGTGGTGGTGATGGAAAACAGGCCCATCATGAGAGGTCGGTATGGGCACGCGGAGGGTATCCAGAGTCGGACACATCGCGCCGCAGTTCTTTTTCTGAGAGAATGCTTCTGGAGACTTCTTCTTCTTCTTCTTCCGCCCACCCCTCCCCCTTCCCCATCCTCGTTTCTTCCCTTTCTCCTAGTCTACCCCTCCTTCTTCTCTCATCTTCCTCCTCGCAGTCCATGTTCTCCTTTCATGTCTACGAGCTGCGCTTAGCTTCGTAATCAGCAAGACATAGAACTATTGGCTCGCAAGTGCTCTTGTCTTGCCTTGTCCTTTTTTGTTGTTTTTGCTCTTGCTGCTGATACTCCTCCTTCTCCTCTCCCGCTCTTCACCCTCTCCCCCCCCCCTCCTCAGCCCCCCCGTCTCCGCAGCAAATCTGGCCGAAGCTTGTCGTCTCGAGCGCACAGCCGCGTCGCCTGGCAAATTCTGATTCGTAGGATGGGGTGACCGAGTTCGATGATGAGCGCGCTGGTCCTCGTCATTGGGCTCGCCTTCCGAGCACTCGGTGCCACTGCTATGCGGCCGCCAGTTGGGATGGAGGATCAGATGAGACAAGACATGATGGGCTTGTTTTCCACCACCACCCACCACCACCAAAAGTTGGAGGGGGAAGGAGGTGGAGGACGAGGAGGAGGAGGAGGAGGACGAAGAGGAGGAGGAGGAGGAGGAGGAGGAGGAGGAGGAGGAGGACTCCCTCCCCCTCCATTTTATGGTGGTGGTGGTGCTGGAAAGCAGGCCCGTCATGACATGCTGATGCCAATGCCCCCTCGTCGTCCTCGCTCTGCTGCGCCCCCCTGATAAGAGGGGGTCTTCGTCGCCGCGGCGGGGGAGCTGGCTCCCAGTCCTCGTCGGAGGGCACCCGGAGGCCTCGAGGGCAGGCGCACCGGCATCTTCTCCTGGCATCGCGCGGACGTGTGCATTTTTTTTTCTCGGCGAGGGCCGTCGAGGAGCATCCCTGATCATTCGGCGAAAAAGCCACGCACGAGACCGAACAGACACACAGGGAATGGACATCCGAGCGATGGCCAGCTTCTCGCCCTCCCCTCCCCCAAGGAGGATGCGGCAGAAAAGCCTGGCGCAGAAGAAGGCCTTCCTGGACGTGCTGATCAAGCTCTTCCTGAAGGCTCGATGTCCACCCCGCATCGAACGCCTTCGAAGGATCACCCCGCTTCCTTCAGTGGTACGATAAAACATGTCTTCATGGGCTCACCCAGCTCGAGGACGAGCTTCGCCGTTGGTTGTGCGTTGCTCGTGGGTGTTCTGATCTTCGAAGTGTTCCATAAGCGAACTGCCGAGTTTGACCTCTCGGCTCCATTTTCCATCCTAGACAAGGTGGAGGACGAGCAAGATCGGGCCGTGGTGGGGCCTCTGCAGGGTGCGGTAACGCTTTTGTATCTCTATGCGGCCGAAAGTCAGACAATCGCCATGGTGTTCATTGGCTTGATTGGAGCGACCATCATTGTCAGCCAGTACCTGAGTACCCTGTTAGTTTCTTGGACGAGCGTGTTCTGGGAAGATATGGAGGAGTGGGGCAAGGGCTCCAAGGGTGACAGTATACAATTCCTGGATGAGTTTCGGGTGCAGTTGCTGTACTTCTTGTTCCTCGCTTTGGTGCACCTCGTTGCGAGCGCATATCAGCAGTACGTCGTGACCATGTTCAGCATCCATGTGCGCGCTAAGGTGACTCGCCGGTACGCGAGCCAGTGGATGCAAGACTTCGTATATTACCGCCTCGAGCTATATCGGCTGATAGAGGGTGGCGCAGATGCAGACAATCCAGACCAGCGTATACAAGAGGATGCAGAGGCCTTTATATCAGGATCGATCCGCCTACTCACTGGGTTCATCTCCAATCTGATCCAGCTCGGCGTGTTTTCCGTCACGGTGTGGAACTTGAGCCCCGAGCACGCGTTCGGCGTGAAAGGCCTGCGCACCTCGAAGGACAGATGATTGCACACGGATGAACGTTCCCAGGTCCTTGCGGATTTCTTGGGTCGGCGCTGGAGACCCTTGGCGGCGCCCCCGGTGCAGGGAGGGGGGCCCTGCGTTGGTCCAAGAAATCCACGCGGACCTCCGACAGTTTATCTGTATGTAGTCTTTTGTTCCTCGAACTTGCCTGGGTGGCTTCTCGTGTGCGAGCTCGGCTACGCGGTTCTCTCGACCGCGGTTGTGCGCGGGGTGTCCATCAAGCTCGAGGCGCTTCAGGCAGCGAGCCAGCGTGCAGAGGCCGATTTCCGCTGGGAGCTGACCACCGTCAGAAGGAGCTCGGAGGGAATCGCGCTGAGCAGGGGCGAAGCGATGCACCAGGAGAGGATCAACTCTCGTTTCGACGTGATTCGGCGATGCGTCTGGGAGAGCATGATCGTGGAGAAGCGCTACAGCATAGTGTACGCGCTCTTCTTCCAGGTGGACGTCGTCGTCACCCTCTTTCTCCTCGGACCAGCCTACCTCCGCGGGGAGGCCACACTCGGTACGGTGATGGCCGTGAACCGCGCGACGGGGCTGCTGTCGAGCGCGCTCTTCTGGTTCGCCAGCTCCTACAGCAGCATCGCTGCCTGGCGCGCCAGCACTGGCCGCCTCATCCGCTTTGAGGAGGCGATGTCGCGCCACCTCAAGGTGCAGGCGGGCGCCAAGGTGGGCTTGCCCAAGACCGCCTCCAACGCTCTGGAGATCGACCGCCTCCGGGTGTGGGCGCCGGCGGCGGCCGCGGCGCCGGGCAGCAGGGAGGCCGGGCAGCTCCCGGAAGTCGCGGGCGCAGTCCTGCTGGAGGGCCTGAGCCTCTCCATCCCAGCGGGCTCTAGGCTGCTGATCAGTGGGCCCAGCTCGAGGGAAGAAACGCGATGACCAGGATCAAGATGTCGCGAGGCCTTGTGGACGCTGGTCTTGCCCGGGTGGCGCCGCTCCGTGCGGATGGTCCACGAGTCGATTGTGGCCAAGATCGACGCCCGCATTCTCGCGTTCAGTCTTGCTCGCGGTCCTCGTGTTCTTTCCCTCCACCAGCGGAGCCGGGAAGAGCACCCTCCTCCGCGCCCTCTCGGGAGCGTGGCCGTGGGCGGAGGGAGGGGCAGCCGTGCAGGGTGGGCCGCAGGGGATGCTGGTCTTTCCCGCGGAGGTGCTCGCCCTGCCTGGGCAGCTCCGCGAGGCCGTGGCGTACCCCCTCCCGCTGGATAGCAGCATCGTCTAACCTGTCCCAATCCCCACTGGGCCACGGCATCTCAGCCTCACCTGCCCGCCCTCCCAGGTGGGGATCGGCCCCGCGAAAGCCGAAGGAACAGGCACACACACACACACACTACACACACTACACATATGTACATATCTACATATATGCACAAACAAATAAATCACGTGTGTCTGTATATGCATGTATGAATATATGACTCAGGGTTCCGGCCACCCCTCGTGCTGACGTTTTCCGGCCGTGAACCCCCGATCCAGGATCAGATGGCCTCACCTGGATGGGTGAGTCGGCCAGTGTGGCCAAGGCCACGCCAATGGGGATATGGAAAACTTTAAACGGTGCCCAGGATGGCAACAAAGCGGCCCGCGAGACGCAGGAGCACTTGGACAAGGACCGAGGGCACAAGAAGATACAGCCGAGCTGCTACCATTCAGAGGAGGGCGAGTTGAGACGACGGTAGTTGGCCTTCGGGGGGGGGGGGGGGCACTCGTCGCCACGGCTGGACGCAGCTCGGAAAAACGCGGGACCGATTGGGCGCTTGGATCCGGGGAGAGGTCGGGGGACCGATTGCGAAGGCCTTACGGCCTGTGCCGCCGACCCTGAAGACGACGAAGATGAAAACGAGGGTAAGGAGGAGGGGAGGAGGAGGAGGAGGAGGAGGAGGAGGAGGAGGAGGCAGAGGAGGAGCAAGAGGAGGAGGAGGAGGAGGAGGAGGAGGAGGGAGGGAGGAGGAGGAGGGGAGGAAGGAGGAGGAGGAGGAGGAGGAGACGATTTTGAGCTACAGCTGCCTCGATTCGCCCTCCTCGCCGATACCACCAGGAACGCCAGAAAAGGAACTTGTACCCTTCTTGCTGGCCCCGAGGGTGCCTGGGTGCACGAGGGGCGCTTCTAGAGGAGCAGCCACGGAATGACCCGATGAACAGCGAGCCCCTTTCGAGGCCGAGCTATTCCTCGTTTCGGCGTCTTGACCGTGCCGGGGCCGCTGCTCCCCAGGCCTCTTCCGCGGTGCGTTCCGGCCAGGACTCCGGGGCAGGCCTGGCCGTGGCGACTGGGGCGGCGCCCGAGGAGGCCCAGAGAGGCGACAACGGGGGTGGGCATTGGCACGAGTCCTGCAAAGGCTTGGGGCACCCCTAGGGGTCTGAGGTGGCCCAGCACTTGTTCCGGCCAGCGGGCCGGGCGGACAGGTTCGAGGTTCTGGGTTCGGGAGGTTCTTTTGTTTTACTTGTCTCCGTGGCCGTTTTCGGGCTGGGACCGTCAAACATGGATCCGGGATGAAGCGCTGCACCAGACAGACCCCGGGAGGGGTCCGGGGACCGATTTTCACGGATGTGCCGCCTCCCCCGCTCGTGGCCAGTTCCCCGGGCTCCCAACAAATGCAGAGCCCCCCCGCCGTCTCCAATTGCAGGCACATCAGGTATTAAGAGATCGGCCTGCCAGGAGGTGCCCCGTGCGAGCTTCTGATCCCTCGATGGCCCCCGGGGGCCCGCAGAGGCTCTGGGGCACCTCGGGGCCCTCAGAGATCGGCGAAGCCTGCGCCCCAAGGCGGTCTCGCGTTTCAGATGCCTGCTCGGACGTGCCTGCGCTCCACGCTCTCCCCCTTGCGAAGGTCGGCCACGCGCAGAGGGGGGTAGGGGGAGGGGGGAAGGCTTCTTAGAAGCACCCCTGCTTCTTAGAAGGCGCGGTCCTTCTGTATAGGTGTAAGGCCGCCGAGTTCTAAGAAGCAGCCTCCTTCTAAGAAGCCTTCCCCCCTCCCTCCACCCCCTTCTGCGCGCCGCCAAGAAGGACATCGCGGCTGCGCTCCGGGTCGCGGGCCTCGCGCGGCTGCTCGAGGACGGCCTGGGCTGCCGGAGGGACTGGGGCCTCGCGCTCAGCTCCGGGCAGAAGGCGCGCCTCTCGCTTGCGCGGCTGGTGTTCCACCGCCCCAGGGTGGCCGCGCTGGACGAGCCGGTGGCGCACCTGGACGCGCCCGCCCGCGCCCCGCTGCTGAGGTCGAGCAGTGGCGAAGCGTCCTGGCTCGCCTATAGCCCTACCAAGCAATGCTCTAAGAACTTGTTGTGGCTTCCACGAACCGTTCTTAGAGCACTTCTGGCGGAGATCGTCTTGTTTTTTTTACACATGGGGTCGATGTTCTAAGAACATTGCTCTTAGTTCTTAGAGCACTTTTGGGTTCTAAGAACAGTTCGTGGTGGGACTATCGGAATGCCGGGACGGTCGGTCCCTGCTCCATGAGGGCGGCCCTCGGCGCCCTCCCGGACACGACGGTGCTGGTGATCGGCCACGACGTGGGCGAGGATCCGCAGGCGGCGTCTGCACTCAGAGGAGAGGAGGGCCAGCCGAGGCGACGGTGGTTGGCCTTCGGGAGGCTCGGGGGAGAAAAAGATACGGATACGTGTTGTCCCCCTTCGTTTTCGGCCTTTCCTGGTCCTCCTGGGGAATCCTCGTTGTCACCGCTGGATTCGCCTCGAAATTCTGATCAGAACGCACCCCAAGAGAGGTCCAGGGACAACACGTATCCGTATCTTTCCGCCCCCCAAGGGGCCCCTTCGTCGCCGCGGCTGGGCGCTGCTGGGAAAGCTGGCGCCTGTGGCCCTTGGGAGGGGTCCGGGGACGGATTTTGAGCTGCCGTTGGTTCAATTCGCCCCCCCTCCGATTTCTGGTGGCCGGCGTTCTGTTTCTCGATGCCGGCACTCGAGGGACCGCGATCTTGCCCCGGTCAACCAGGAACGGATCCGAGACGAGAGCCACCCCAGGGGAGTGGGTCGGGTCTTCTGAGGCCGCGGAGTGCAGCAATCTGATCGGCGGGTGTCGGGGGACGGCATCTGCACACCACCGCCGTGCCTGGACAGGGCCATCTTGGCCCCAGGATGATGCATTGACCCTTCCAGCCATGCCAAGGTCCAGGACGGCACTGACCAGGCACGGTGGCGGTGTACAGATGTCTGCTGCGCACAGGATATCCAGGAGCTCTTCAATTCCAGGTTCACCATGGACGCAGAGAGCAAGTCGTTGCGCCCGCAATGAATGCGGGTGTCAGTTTTTCGGCTGTGGAGTGCGCCTGTGAGTTGCGCCCCCTGTGGTACGAGGGATTACCCAGTGCACCGCTGCAGCCCAAGCTTCATGAAAAAGATGCTGATCTGGTTTTTGGTGGGAAGGAGAAGCTAGGCCTCGAGGTGGGAGGAGGAGTTTGACTACGAGGATCGGATCGGACACTTCGGGTGGACAAGGCTGCTGCCTTCCTGCCACGAAGGTTGGGGGTGGAGACCCTGCGCCGCCAAAACAGAGCGTGCGATGTAGGGCCCCATGCCATCTCCGACCTTCGGGTCAGAAAGCCCGACCTTCCGGAAGACACCTGCCGTCTGGAGGAGGAGGAGGAGGAGGAGGAGGAGCAGGAAGAGGAGGAGGAGGAGCAGCAGCAGCAGCAGCAGGACGAGGAGGAGGAGGAGGAGGAGGAGGAGGAGGGGGAGCAGGAGGAACGGCGCGGCGCGCGGAGGTCCCGCATCCTTCTGTCTCTCCTGCCTCCCCCCTGCCTCCCCGCGCGCGCCTCGTCTGCCCCCCCCCCCCCCCCCTCCAGCTGCCCCCCGGGAGGCCTGCCTCTGGGCTCGAGCTCGGCGCCGACGAGGGGCCCTTCACGGCAGGTGGCCGACGCGGGGGCCCATCCCTCGCCGCTCCTGTCGGGGGCAGCGCTGGGAGGCGAGAGGCTCGGGGGGGAGTGCGTCGACCCCCAGTGGCCCATTCCTCCACCTCCTCCTCCTCCTCCTCTTCCTCCTCCTCCTCCTCCTCCTCCTCCTCCTCCTCCTCTTCCCTCTCCTGTTCTCATGTTCCTTTCCCTCCTCCTCGAGGAGGGCGGCCAGATCCAATCAACGCACAAACATCTGCACGGCCATTTGTGGGTCGTTTTTGGCATGAGGTTCATCCCAGACATCCGGACTGTCAACAAAACGACTCGGGAGGAGAGATTGTACCTTGGGGCGGAGGTCGAGTTCCCCGGGGGCCGACGTCACAAAACAAGTGCGACGGCGGAAAAGACGGACTACATCGATGCCGCTGCCTTTCCCGCGTTATCGCCTTTTTGGGCCCTCCGGGCGGCCCTCGTCGCCACGGCTGGACTGGTCGGAGCGCACCCCGGGACAACTCCTTTGGGAGCGGCGGCGCTGATGCTCTTTATCCTTTGGGGGACGGGGGGTTCTCGGGAGAAAGGGGTCCAGACGCGTTTCGCCCTGTTCGGCAGCGGGGCTCTGCCTGGGCCCTGGGGGTCGTCAGAAAGTGAGATCGGGATGAGAAGCTGGTCTCAGGAGGGCCTCGCTGCCCAGAGCTCCTTTCCACTGAGACCCACTTCCGTCATGCCGACCATCTTGCGGGGGGCGGCATTTCGGCGGCGCCGAGGTTTCTCTAAATTTTCGTATGCGTATTGACGTTATTGGCCCGCGTTGAGCTTCTGAGGCCTTCAGCTGGTCTCCAGAGAGTTCCTTCCTGGGAACTTTGGAGAGTGCTGGCGACGTCTGGAGACACTCAGAGACTTGCTTAGTCAAGCAAGTGAAAAGTCGAGACGTTTTGGAAGGAGGACAGACTCTCACCTGCCGCCCAGGTCCAGGAGGGCCCCGGCAGCGAGTGGTGGCAGATGCATGGGCGCCGGCTGGAGTTCCGTGGATTCAGGTCACACTACAACTGCTGCGGCCGACGTTTCGGGGAACGCGCCGATGCCGGCCAGATCTGGAGACCCAGAGAGGCCACAAAACCTAGTGCGTCACCCCCGGTCTTGCCCTCCCAGCTCTGCCGACGTCGGGCATCTTAGGACGGGGCAGGGACGAGGACAAGCCCATTCCAGAGCGTCCTGGGGCGCTCTCGGAGCGCTCCCAGGCCCTCCGAGAAGGCCGCGGCGCAGGATGCGTCCTCCAGAGCCCGCCCGAGCCCGCGCCCGCGCGAAGAGGACCCCTCGACGGGATAGCAGGCGGGCTCGTGTCTCCTCCTCGCCGCCCGGGCCGGCGCCCTGCGAGCATCGCGAGGGGAGCTGCGGGGGGGGAGGGGGGCCGGCGGGCCCGTGCGCGCAGGAGGCGGCCGCCGTGGCCGCCTCCCGCCGCGCCGCTGGGCAGCCCCTGGAGGCCGTCGTGCACGCCCACGAGCTGGAGGGTGCCGCGCCCTCCCCCCTCCCTTTGCACTGCTCGGCGGCGGGGGGCCACGCGTCGGAGGGGCCGGGCCGCTCGCCGGAGCGGCCTTCGCCTGCGGAAGGGGTGCCCATACCTCTACACCCTGCCCTGGTTCCCGTGTGGGGGCCTCCCGGGAGGGCCTCGTCGCCACCGCGGGACTCGCCTCGAAATCCTGGTCAGAACGCACCCCGGGAGAGGTCAGAACGCACCCGGGGGAAGCCAAAAGGCGCCCATTGGGTATACCTTGTGGTTTCCCCGGCGGGGGGTGGGGGGGGAAGCGAGGCGGAGAAGGCCTTCCCAGAGGGCGGCGGGACTTCTCAGAGGCCCTCTGAGAGTTTTTCTGTGTCTTCGGGGGAGGCTCCGAAAACTTCTCAGAAGGCGCGGGGGGGTCCGAGACGTCTGAGAAGGCCCGCCCTTGGAGGGTTTCTCCGAAGGGCTGAGGCGACCCGTCCTCCCCTCTCCTCCTCCTCCTCCTCCTCCTCCTTCTCCTCCTCTCCTCCTCCTCCTCCTCCTCCTCCTCCTCCTCCTCCTCCTCCTCCCTCCTCCTCCCCTCTCCGCCTCCTCCTCCTCCTCCTCCTCCGCCTCCTCCCTCCGCCTCCTCCTCCTCCTCCTCCTCCTCCCTCCTCCTCCTCCTCCTCTTCCTCCTCCTCCTCCTCCTCCCTCCTCCTCCTCCTCCTCCTCCTCCTCCTCCCTCCTCCTCTCCCTCCTCCTCCTCCCTCCTCCTCCTCCTCCTCCTCCTCCTCCTCCTCCTCCTCCTCCTCCTCCTCCTCCTCCTCCTCCTCCTCCTCCTCCTCCTCCTCGGGTCGCATACGGGCCCGAGGAAAACCGTGCACCTTGGGCCGCGCACCAACGGTCACTCTTGCCTGGCGTCTCTCTTGCGTGTAACTAGCCGGGACGACGTCGACGTCGGCGGCGTCGTTGGCTCGGAGGTCGGGGGGGGGGCGTTCCTGGACCGATGTTGAGCGGATCAGGGTCGACGCTACTTTGCCCTCTCTTTGTCCCTCTCCCTCATCCCTGTTGCTGTTCCGGCGATTCGCAGCGTCTCGACCTCGACAGTCGTTCATTTGTTTAGCCTGGTGAATTCGGATAGCCAGCTCACTTTGGTGATTCATCCTTCACGTGGCAGCGGCCTGTGGATCTGTTTGCGTAGGAGAGAATGCTTTTGTAAATTCTCGATCGCCCAGGGTGCAAGACCACGAGTTTTGACGATGGTTTCTTCGGCTGTGGGTTTTGAGGTTTGAGGCCATTGCCCTGTCGCTCCACATGTTTTTTGAGACAAGTGCTGGATAGGTCGTTCTGATAGCCTGATCGCGCGCCATGATTGATGTGGCTGTCCGCAGTTGCCTTCGAACATGGGAACTTCCTCGACGCATTTGCGTTTTACATGTCAGGGGCTTGTGGGGTGTACCTACCGCACTGCGCAACATGGCTACTCCTGGCCAGCCCAGGGCAGTGAAGCCAGCTTCACTGACTTCATATTTGGCAGGTTTGGCTGCATTGATAGCCGCACGTGGACGGAAAAGGCACTGCGCAGAAGAATACGTAGCAGCAGCAGAAGCGCAGAGCACCTGGTATGCAGCTGCACGTCGGCAGCGCGCAGTTTGAATCAGCGGGCCATCGGTGCAGTGCACGCTCGACGGTCTCATTGTCGTAGACATCCGCCCGAAGGCAGTGGCATGTGACATGCAACAGCTAGAAGCGCATGTAGTTTGTATTCGGGCGGTGATTTCAGGCGAACAATTTGTCATGGGTGAGACACGTTCAGCCGCTCGCAGGTTCAATCACGCCCGTCTCGGCGCGGTGTGGAATGTCGGTGTCTTGCTGAGACAGACGCTCATGTCGGACATGGCATCTTTTGTGGGTGCTTCAATGGGCGTGGAAAAGCAAAATCGAGGGTTGGAGCATCCCCCCTCCCCCACTCTCGAAGTCGCGGGGTGCCCCCCACCCTCTGCTACTACGCGCCAGCAGACGGCGACGGCGAAGAGGATGACGACGCTGACGATGACGACGACCACGACGACGACGACGACGACGACGACGACGACGACGACGACGACAACGCCTCAGCCGACAACGACGGCGACAACGACGACAACGACGCACGACGACAGCGATGGTGACGACGACAGCCTCGTGGGGAGGAGCAGGACGTGGAGGTGGAGGGTTTCTCCGAAGGGCTTAGGCGACCCGTCCTCCTCCTTCTCCTCCTCCTCCTCCTCCTCCTCCTCCTCCTCCTCCTCGGGTCGCCTGCGGCCCCGGGGGAAACCGTGCACGTGGAGGGCGGCCGCCTCTGCCCGGCGGCGCCCGCGCAGGCCGCGCGCTGATCTCCTCGACGAGGAGGGCCGTCCTCCCGCGCGTGCGCGGCGGGGCGGGGCCTGCAGTGGAGGCCCATGCCAAGAAGCACACTGCCTGCCTCCTCCTCCTCCTCCTCCTCCTCCTCCTCCTAGACGTTTCGATCCCTCATCTTCCACTCCCCCCTCACCGATCCCTCCGTCTCTCCCCTGGAAAGCTTGGTGCTGGAGCCGCCGCCACGTCGAGGCTGCGCTGGGTTTTCTTGCGTCTCGATGGTTTTGCTGAAGAGAAGGCGAGATGTTCCCGCGCCGAAGGGCAATGAGCGTCCTGGGGTCTCAGAGATTTGGGTTAGGTCGGGCATGTCCCCCTACAGGCGGATTTTGGAAGAACTTTTATAGCCAAAAATATGCAAAACATATTCAAACACATTGGAAAACATCTCCCCCTGTTTTTTTTTGTTTGAGTAATACTCCTGTAGAGGGACAGGCCCGACTTAAGATTCAGGTCTCTTGTGGAAGGTTTCCTGTGGTCGGGCCCCTGCTGCAGGCCAGGGTCCGGGCGCAGGTGGGGTCGGAGGATCGCGCC